TAGCCAAAGCTTCTGTTGTGTTGTTGTCGATGTTTTCAACACCTGTAAACTTAGCAGCATCTTCGAGTACGCAGGACTTCCAGTTCTTACGGGGTCTGCCCCTTGACCTATTTCCATAATTTGGCTTCCAGTTCAACAGAAACCTCAAGAATCAATAGTTCCCACAGTCAGACAACGAATGAGTTAAAAAGTTCCAGCAAAATCTTTATAACATCATTGGCAAAACATTTTCGGACATCTTCAGTACATAATAAAGATAAGGGTTAATACTCTAATTAAATCAAAAAATTAAAATTAAAATTGAAGGATGTTAGGTAAAAAGAAGTCAAACTCTTAAAAAGGGAATGGGAAGTACTCGGGTATGGGGGGTTGTGAGGCCCCAACCAGTAGAAAAAATACTAGTCCCTGCATTAAGGGTGAAATAATTCAAAGACCATTATCAAAAGTTTTATTTTCAAACAAAAGTGGCATACCAAAAGGATCACATGAATTAATACCATGGGGTTTCTGAGTTTTTGTATAAGTAGATGTTCGTTAACTTCTAAATTACTAGGACTAGAATTCTTTAGGATAAAAACATTATTAAAAGCATCAAAATCAGGTCTATTAGAAAATAGAAAGGTTATGTGAGTCTATAAGGTGAGCTGCTAAACTATAAGTGTCACTATCATCAGATAAAAAACCATCACTAAGTTTTATCAGGAAGGGTCTTTCAATAATTTATAATAGTTAGCTCTATGTTTGGTTACTCTTTTATGCAAAGTCCTAATGGTACGTCCAACATAGCAGAAAGGAGATGGACACAATTTACAAATGAATATATAGACTATGTTGTAAGGAACTGCTCCTAGTCCTAAGGTATTATTGACGTTTCCACTGTAGAGTGTAGTGATTAATTGATACACAGCACAATTGAACAATTCGGTGTTTTCACTTTTTATCAGCCACATCAGATTTCAATAATGTTAGATCCTCGAATAGTTCTGTAGACAGTGGCTGGGCACTCATCATACGCTTTAAAGTCTAACTTCAATTTGGTTATCGATACGATGTTAACAACGGTTGAATATTTGCTATGAGTTTTGAACTCAAATACGAATAAACTTAAAATCTAATACTGTCCACAATACAACAAAAGCCATTTTCAGTTCCTTTAGTGATGTTTCAGAAGATGTGCAATCAGGGCGTTATCAATAGAATGTCCTTCAAACTCCGCTAGAACTTCCCATAAGGTCCACAGTTCGTCTAAAAGCTCCTTCGTCACCTCCTGAATATTTAGCATTGTCATTATTATTAATTTATAGAAGTATCAGACACTATAATATTCATGACATTTTCTTGAATTCATGAATTCCTGTGGTAATGGCTGTTTTTTTACTTCTTTCAATTACGCACTCAAATATCATTTACAAGTCACCTTAGTATATGATCACTGAACATATTCAGAACTTTTCAACGAGTGTGGAGCGATTTAAAAAAATTAAATTTACCTGGTTATAAAAATCAGCCGCGAACAGAATGTTCCAGTGCCGATGAGTAAAAGTTCCATTATTCCTCGCTTCAGTATAACTATAAGGTTCCGTAATCGTAGATTCAGGAGCATTATTAGTAGGTTCAGGAGCATCAGTAGTAGGTTCAGGAGCATCAGTAGGTTCAGGAGCATCAGTAGGTTCAGGAGCATCAGTAGTAGGTTCAGGAGCATCAGTAGGTCCAGGAGCATCAGTGGGTTCAGGAGCATCAGTAGTAGGTTCAGGAGCATCAGTAGGTTCAGGAGCATCAGTAGTAGGTTCAGGAGCATCAGTAGGTTCAGGAGCATCAGTAGGCCCAGGAGCATCAGTTGGTTCATGAGCATCAGTAGTAGGTTCAGGAGCATCAGTAGGTTCAGGAGCATCAGTAGTAGGTTCAGGAGCATCAGTAGGTTCAGGAGCATCAATAGGTCCAGGAGCATCAGTTGGTTCATGAGCATCAGTAGTAGGTTCAGGAGCATCAGTAGGTTCAGGAGCATCAGTAGTAGGTTCAGGAGCATCAGTAGGTTCAGGAGCATCAATAGGTTCAGGAGCATCAGTAGGTTCAGGAGCATCAGTAGGCCCAGGAGCATCAGTTGGTTCATGAGCATCAGTAGTAGGTTCAGGAGCATCAGTAGGTTCAGGAGCATCAGTAGTAGGTTCAGGAGCATCAGTAGGTTCAGGAGCATCAATAGGTTCATGAGCATCAGTAGTAGGTTCAGGAGCATCAGTAGGTTCAGGAGCATCAGTAGTAGGTTCAGGAGCATCAGTAGTAGGTTCAGGAGCATCAGTAGGTTCAGGAGCATCAGTACGTTCAGAGGCATCAGTAGTAGGTTCAGGAGCATCAGTAGGTTCAGGAGCATCAGTAGTAGGTTCAGGAGCATCAGTAGTAGGTTCAGGAGTATCAGTAGGTTCAGGGGCATCAGTAGTAGGTTCAGGAGCATCAGTAGTAGGTTCAGGAGCATCAGTAGTAGGTTCAGGAGCATCAGTAGTAGGTTCAGGAGCATCAGTAGGTTCAGGAGCATCAGTAGTAGGTTCAGGAGCATCAGTAGGTTCAGGAGCATCAGTAGTAGGTTCAGGAGCATCAGTAGGTTCAGGAGCATGTGTATGGGATGGACAATGGGTCATGTTGAACTTTTGAACGTTGTGTAGGGGGCTGTTGTTCAGGAGAGTGTCCCATTTCAGGAACATGCTCTCAGACAGGGACTCTACATACTTACAGCACATTCCAGACTCGTACATCTCGGAGACTTCTTCATCTGTCAGTTGTTCTGCAAAAATGTTAAAGTCATGAAGTTCCCCTCCGAATGAGTGTCGTTGCGAATAAAAGATCGCATCTAAGGTGGTGGTTTTGTGAGCTTGACCTATTGCGATGGAACCTCCCATTGTTAACTTTATACCTGACGGGGTAGCGACAGACTTAACCAGTTCCCCGTTATAATAGAACTTAGTGGTCTGGGTTGCATGGGACCAGGTCAAACACTGGTGATGCCATTCGTTGGGTGGGGCTGTGATACCGGTAAAGGTAAGCTGTTGTAGCATGTTCATATAGTTAGACGAGTCAACCATTGCGATATCATGTTGAACAGATGGTGAATTGTACCTCAGCACGTACTTGCTTCTTCCAGACTTCAACTTGTGAACCCACGTGCATATGGATATTTTCTCTTTTACAGGCTCCATATTTGGGTTAATTAGGATGTAAGAACTAATGCTGTCTGCGAATCTCAGTCCAAGGAACAGATCATGGGCAAGAAGATATGGTAAAGCCAGGGAGAACAAGACGAGGATACGTTGCATGGTGCCAGGTTGTTTATAACCTACTGTAGCAATTAAAAGTCGGGTTCTTAACAAAATGAACGATAGAACTGAGCGAGTGTGAGGGTAGAACAGGACAGGGGTCCTTATAAAGCTGCGCTATTTCAGACTGTGAACACCGCGTGCTTTATTCTGTCGTCAAGAGAGGGTTATCTGACTCTTCAGGACATTGTGTCAATGTCCTGACATTATCTTTTAGCCGTTTGCAAGACTTCAACTGAACATTGTTGTCATCATAGATTTGTCATGATTTTGAAATAAGGTAACAATTTCGACAGTTTTTGAGATAAGGGCATGCTGCTGACGTAATTGAGTATATCAAAACTTTAAGATACGGATCCATAAACATCAGCACTAAATTATAATCATAGACAATGTTGAATGTCCGTTGACAGCGGCGGAAGTTTTAAGGTTATGTTGGTCATTTGTGAAATAATCCTGGCTATTGTTGACTGATGATTAACTGGAAGGGGGCACCACAGATGGATACCCCTTTTCAAAGTTCTGACAACCTCACGGCAGCACAGAGTTTCTATCCAGCAGTGACACTTTGGGCTACCTAACTTTCACACAACCATTGGAAGACCAATGGTTGTGTGATTACTTATGTTAATTAACTTACAAGTTTTATTATAATTTTTCCGTTCATCATTTTTGTTCATCATTATGAACAAAAGTGGAGATTTGGGAATTGGGAATTGAATATAGGTTTAGATTTCGTGTACGTCTGTCCGTCACACTTTACCATGTATAATATATTATTGTATAATATTGTAGTCACGCCCATATTTGGTCCAAATTAGGCCCAATTTAGCCAAATACCCTGAACATGCCCAAAACCCAGGTTCATGGTGCTCTACTTGTAGCTAGTGGTCTCCTAAACTCGTACATGAAATTTCATCAAGATTGGACAAAAATGACTGAGTTATGAGCTTAAAACCATATGCCCATTTTTGGGCATACGTACCAAATTCGGTAGATTTCGTCCCATAAATTGGTCAAATATCAATATTTTTGAATGAAACTTATTTTATATGAAAGGTGGGACTAAACTATACATATTCTCTGTAAAATTTGCTCAGCAAAATTCAAAATTTGGCCGCCAAACTTTTTTGGAAACCTAAATTAAAAATCCATTTTCAAAATAAGGTGGAAATGCGATTTCGAGTCGATTCCGAAAATTTCATGCACAAATTGTGAAAACTAATTGAGTTGTTACAATTTTAATGAAATCAATTCCGCGAATATCGTGAACCAAGATACGGGCAATTTAGTTCATTTTTGTGGTCTTTTCGCCTTAGCATTAACATTTAAACAAACTAGCAGGAACCCGTCAAACCTTTAAGACTGGTGTCAAGGCTCTTTGGTGGCCGGATCAGTTTCCTACCCTAAAGTCTCCCAGTAAAAATAATTATTACCTATTTAATTCGCGTTTTTGACACCACTTGGGGGTCCAAATTTTGGGTACTAAAATTCTTATTCCTTGGCCGATTTTCGATTTTTTCATGCTGATTTGAAGGCCATTAAAGCATTTGAATCAGTTAAAAAAGTTTCAGTTTTATATCTTGTACGGTTTTTGCGGAAACCCGTGTTAAAGTTGATGCCGTGGTGTCAGTAAAATGGTGCGGATAAATAAATATATATATATCGTCTCGCTTTATATATAGTAAGATATAAAGTTATATCTTACAGAGAATATGTAGTTTAAGTCATATTTGAAGCTGCAGAGCGTGAGCTATAATTATAAAAGTATAAACCTGAAACCGATCACTGTTTTATGCGGGTATCTTTTATTCAACATGAACAGAAGATACCCGCATTTTAATTGTGTTTTATTCAACATGAACACAAAATACCCGCATTTTAATTGTGATTTAAAATGTGTCTAATTTTATAATTTTGCACAATGAAACAACTTTTTTTTCAATTAAAATACAGTATCTGATATAACAGTACATACGAAAGTAATATAATTATAATAATAAAACATATCGCGAAAATTATTTCAGTGTTCTAATAACTGGGTGGCGCCAAAAATGTTTAAAACATAACCTTTTTTAACACCAAAGATGCAATGTTTTGTTGTAAAATCAAATTTAACGCTAAACCTTATCAGTTATAGTTATACATATTTTAATTAAAAACAATAGGCGAAATTATTCCATTTTAAACAAACCTTTGTTATATTATCTACACCGATATTATGCTCGAGATTTAAAAATATAACTGACAAATATTTGAGATTAACAGTAACACACCATAAATTGTAATTTATTATTAAACACAGACTCTTCACGATATTTGTTAGTTCAATATTTCAATATTTATCTAGTTTCAATATTTATCTAGTTCAATATTCATTGCCTAGTTTTAAAACATTAATTAGTATAGTTTGATGTGTGCATCACTTGAAAACATGCTTAATAACGTCTCTTAATTTATTGCTCATCCAAATTCTCAAGTTTCTTTGTAATTTTCGAATATATATACGCATCAGCAATTATTCGAGAATCCTTACATGATATAACTGCCTCATTAATGAGTAAAGTAACCCCAAAATAAACACACTCACTGCTCACAATTAACATCTATGACTCCAACTTTGTTGTTGGTCTGATGGGGTTTAGCGGTCCTTGGAGCGTTGTTGTTCCCGTTTATACCATGTGTACCGTTTATCACTGTTGGAGGCTCAGCTATAACCAGTTTCATGTGTTTCTTCTTCTTTGGCCTTCTTATCGACTGAACCTGCAAGCGTTATTATCCTACGATTTCCAGATTACATCAAGCAGCAAAGAAAAGCAACGTGCATAACTTGATCCCTTTAACTGAAAGTAAAACTACTTAACATGATATAAACGAGATATCCTAATACTGATGTTTAGCTTACCCAGGAAACTTTGTTCTTGTCCTTGCATGTCAGAATACTAATGTAGTGGTTCCTCAGTTTGGGGTTGAACAGTCCGTAGAGGAGAGGGTTCACCGCACTGTTCATGTATAACATCCAGTGGAATGCTATGCCTGCAAGATGTGTGAATGGTTAGTCCACAGTCCACACTGTCCAATCTTTTTATAGCGCAATATGTTTATTGTTCATTATTATTAGGTACATTTTACTAAAACCTTAACAAATATGCAAGTTTCAGATTGATTCTGATTATTATCAAAATAATCTTAAGATTCAGTTCTTACTTATTTCAGGAGGGACGTTCTCAGCCTTGGTAGGATCAAACCACAGGATGATGGCTGTCACGAAGAGAGGAAGAGAGCAAATAACAAACGCTAGAGTCAGCACTAATAGGGTTAACTGAGAATGGTTCGTTTTTTTAGTAAGTTGTTGATAAGTTGATAGTTAGGATAAGCAGTTTGTTTTTTATGGTTGATGATGATTGCTAGAAAAGTTAGAAGTAAAATGCAGACGCTTGCACACAAGCATGATTCACCAACATTTTCGTTCACGGCACTTAAAAGCAATTTTACTTACGATAGCACCCTTATTAGAGTCGAGCATCTTCCTCCCATCTCCTAGAGACGAAGAGTTAAGGTCGATGAGGATCCCGGTGAAGTTGAAGACGGTGAAGGTAACCGGTATCAGAATCACTGTCACCGCGTAAAACAGGAAATAGTACCTGAGGTAACACAGAGTCGAGAGAATTTATATCGAAATTTGTCAACGAATTTCAATAATTATTTAATCGACAATTACTGTAACTGTACAACATTTTGAGTTTTTGTTTGAAAATTTAATATCTGCGATGACACGATCAGTACTGACTTGTGGACGCCGTCTCCAAAGCTGAGTCCACAGTTGTAGGAGTGAACCGAGTAGCTGTACTTCCCCCAGAACATGAGTGGCATACAGGACAGCACCAGGGAGCTGGCCCATACAAACGTGGCAGAACATCTCATCTGCGGTTAGTTGTCTGTCAGTCATATTATGCGAACAATTGAGTTATAAATATACATGAATATCAGTCATAAATATGACATAACCCGGTTTTAGCCTGTCTAAACCATTTAATGTTGAGTGTGACCTATGATTTCACAACGAAGAGCAGAAATCTCAAATAAGGAATATTCGAATAATCTAAATATTGGATATTTGTGGAAATGTGCATCTAAAGAACTAAAAATATAAATAACCCAACCCGTAAAGTGGTCATGATAGTGGAATATCTGAGTGGTCTGCAGATATAGACGTATCTATCAAAGGAACTGAGAGCCAGGAACCATACACTGCAGCCTGCGGGGGTACGTGGGTTATATTAATGCTAATCCTTGTTATCCTTGTAATCCTTGCAAAAGGGTACGTGGGTTATATGTTAGCTAATCATTGTAATCCTTGTAACCCTTGCAAAAGCTGAAATAGTTTAAAACACTTACAACTGTTTTAGAACAATGGTATAATCAAGCAGTCCTATACACAGCTGTCACTTTTGATTATGAGTTAGTTATACATTTTCTTATCGATTTGACTTTTTGATATATGTGACACTTATTATTTATATTTTATTGAAGAGATCTTAACCTCATGGCACTTCTCCTCCGCATACAACCGAGACTCTAGAGAGTAGAGGCCTAGCTCACTTTACGAGGGAAGGAGGGATTGCGAATGATAATTAACTGGTGTGCGTGATTTGTTGAACGCACTTGAGGAGTGATACTAGTTGCTTAGTTGTATCGACATAATGATGGTCAGGTTTCTAATTATGTCAAGCAGTATAACACGGACTCTCCATTAATACAAAAACAAGCCCGCGATATACGTGATTACTTGAATATTACCCAAGATATGTTATGGTTCATCGGTTCATGTGTCGAGAAGCGTAATATTATAATATACTGGTAGGCAAGCCTGATCTATACGATATAATAATATTGTTTTTACATCTCCACAATTTCACGTGAGACTTCGCTTTTCCGCCTGCCTCGCTGAACCAGCACACACGATTTGACTGTGCCATTAAACTTGGGTCAATGTCCCGCCCTGTCCGGAACCAATCAGATTGGAAGGACCCGTTTCACGTGACCACCTCTAAACGGTCACGTGACCACCTCTAAACCGATCACTGGTCAGGTGGCGTAAAACATCTTATTAATCAAGGCATGTTATCTGTATCGATGCTACTAGGCGAAGTGCATGCATTAAGCGAGGCTGGATAGTGCATGTGGTATGAAATATGATTGAAGTAAGGGGCGTGGATTTCGCTGGCGCAATTTTTAAAATGAAAGAAGGGTGTTTATTAGAAGTGTATTTGTTATTCCCAGGACTAACTAGATCCTCAGATCCTACTGCAGTGTATTGGTAGTGGTGTAACGACCGCCCCGCTACCCCTAGGGGCGGCATTTTCCCGTATTTTAGAAAGAAAAAAACGTCTGATTCGGGTATCATCCCGTCCACTTGAAAGTTCGCTTGAAGCGAAAAAATATTTGGGGTTACAAAATGCTCCTAGGAGGGGGGGGGGGGGGGGGGCTGTTGCCATGATTTCTATCTATATGCAAAAAAGGCTCCATCTTTCTTTTTTATGCTTCTTCTTTTCTTCCAAGCTTCAACTATTTTGTGCAAGAAATGTGATTTGTCATACGATATCGAATGAAAATGCACAAAATGGTTGACAAATCATATCGCATTTGGTGGTGACTGGTAATTTGCAGAGTACACGTCGAGCTGTATTAAATAGGACACAATACTGAATACATGCATATGTAATGGCCAATGGGGTATACGAGACGCTTGCCAGGTTATTTGGGAGGGTACAGAGCCCCGGAGATTGGAAACCCCTCTAGTGGCCCGGTCTATAATAGTAGTAGTAGATATGTTTCACTGTACTCCAAAGTATACAATACAGCTAACAGCAGTTTATTTACTTTTAGGAATTGAATAAGTTAACATCACCTATGACAGTGTTGTCAAGAAAGGCAGCAAGCTTGCAGCTGAAGGCTCCTCCGACAGTGAACAACCACTGGTCTCTGATCAGAGAACCTATCGTCATCGGCATCCGAAACTGCCTGGTTGTGATAAAGTATTAATATCGTTTACTAGGCTTTACTGAGTATAACCCCCCAATCTTCAGGATTACCAACACAAATGACTATAAACTTATAACTTTACAAAGTAAGTTTCCGGTCGGGAGCTCCTCATTTACTAATTGCACAAATATATATCGGTGATAATCATGATATCACAAAATTCATAATCTTCGCCCCGGTAATAGTTACCCATGATAAGATCTGCGACGGCGAGGTTGATGATGTAAGCGTGCCTAGCAGTTCGTAACCATCTCAGCTGTATGTAGGATATGATAAAGAGGAGGTTCCCGAATATCGCTGCTAGACAGAACAGGGACATGGACCCTATCCTGAGGGACCTGAAACAAATGAGGGTTAGGGGACATGTACCCTATCCTGAGGGACCTGGAACAAATGAGGGTTAGGGGACATGGACCCTATCCTGAGGGACCTGGAACAAATGAGGGTTAGGGGACGGCTATTTGGAAGGCTCTTCATTCTGGTGAAGTTTGTTTTGGGTGATAACAAGACCTGGTTACATTTATTGTATAATGTATAAACAAGTTATTGTATAATGTATAAACAAGTTATTGTATAATGTATAAACAAGTTATTGTATAATGTATAAACTATAAACAAGTGGTAAACAAGTTGGTTTGTTCAATATATCTTGGAGTGGTTATTTAAATGTATAAGTGATACGAAATGTTTGTTTAGCAAGAGCTTTCAAAATACATGTGTAAATCGTATTCATATATTTTGCCAAAGAGATGCAGTAAAACTAAACTCGCGCGCACGTACATATTGTACAATGTACAATGTACAATTATGTACATACAATATACATTATACATACCTCTGCGTATAATGCATGATGTTTATGCGCTCTGAAGGAGTGTCCGAAATTAACAAGGCTTCACTGCAGTTCAGCATCCTCTAATCTCCAATTTCAACTTTTCATGTAAATACGATTGGCTTACGAATAATGATGTGAATGAGCTTAAATCTCTATTTGCCACTGAATCGAGCAATATATCAATATGTCGAATAGGCTTTGAATGCAGAAATAACATGAGCAACTTAATAAACTTAATAGTAGTAGTAGTAGTAGTAAGAACTTAGATGGAACTTAAGTAGCGTGTAATTTAGGCTGAGAGCTGTCTAATGATCACAACCGTTGCCATTATACTAACAATTCTATTTACCCCCTTTACTATTATGCCCCCTTCACTGTTTTTCCAGGCATCTAGACTCATTGGAAGTCGTTCAGCAGGCATATTTTAAGTTCATAACATTATAATTCAATGTCAAAGATGACAGGAATAAGAAATAGTTCTGTGGAGGTTTTTAAGAAATTTGCGCAAAATACGCGCCAGCATTGTTAATTTAGTCAACAATTGAAAAAAATATCATTCGAATTGGTGGATGACACCACATCACAACGCCTTCATACACTTCCGGCCTAAATCTAACGATGGGAAGCTATTATCATCCCAAAAAGTACCACAAAGTTCTATTTTGATCATATTTTTTTTAGTTCCTTCGACCGGAGGAGGAACCCAAAAATTGTGTACTGATGAGGACTTTAAAGGTGGTATATACGTGGTTTTACGTGGGAAGAATACGGTTTTATCTGAAGTTGGACTGAGCAAGATAAAAATATTCTTTCACCAACGATGATGCTGTAAGACGGAAATATTATCTGAAAGAAAATTTGACTCTAAAAAATTGATGGAAAATTGCGATTTTTATCAACTTTGGTGCTCCGTTGTGATGCAAGTTCTTTTTTAAATCTGTTGAAACTTTTCATGCTTTTCAAAATATATATAAAATGCCAATAGGCTGAATTTTACGGTGATTCAGAATTGCATTGGATGCGCACGCAACGTCCGCTCAAAGTTTGCACGTGCGAAAGGTGAGAATTTCGCTCATTTGTGATTTCGATTAGATTCTGCTTTCCCACGACAGTTAAGTGGCATTATATATGAATTTAATGCCAACTTGAAAGAGGAAAAGGTGGCACATTCAGTCAGTGATCGACAGATATCTTACCCAAACACAAGGAAATGTTTTCAAAGGTAAAATTTCGAAATCGTTGAAATGACCTCCTTATTAATGGAGTTATCAGTTTATATTTCGACTTTGTAAAGTACCCTGTCATTTTAAAAAAGAGATGATAATAAAAAGACATGAGATTTGACCAAAACCCATAATTGGGTAGAGTGGACCGCTGCCAGTGTCTCTCTTTCTCAAACAAAAGGAAATGATATTAATTTGAATGACCGTCCGCAAATGAAAAAAATGCAGAGAATGAAATCGGTCTCTCGCTTTTCCCATTCATTTACAATTGTAATAGATTAAGAAGAACTACCCTAAGCCGGCAGCTGTACTCGGCAATAAATTAATAATTAACAATAAAACTTTTGAAAGTCAGAGATAGAGAGCTACTCTTGCTGCCAAAAATAGCAGGCACGTACAGGAGAGTCACGTCAAAATGCTGTGTAAAGTTGCCATAGTGTATTAATGCCATTCAAGTGAAGGTATTATGAGCGTCAAATGAACATGTTACATTTGCCAACTACACCTTGGATTACAAATGCGAGGTGAGCGAACTTGCGACTCTGTTAACGGCGCCAGCACAATTTAATTGTTCAAACAGTGGATTCATTGTTTTACTTTAGTTATGGTGATTTGTAGAGAGTGTAACCAACATGACGCCTTCCAGAAGTCACAGAGAAGGGTTAATGAGATTTCTAATTTCGTAGAATTATTTAACTTTACTGATAGATTCTGTAAATATTAATATAATCATTAGAATGCAGTGTTAAGTTGGAAAGGTTCAAACCGTATTATACAACTATAATATAAAACTTACTCTGTTAACATACGCTCCTAATTACATAATTAGTTTGGGTGCACAGCAGCACATTGCTGCACTGGCACAGTGCATAGCGACTCATCACCATAGCAACATAGTTCATAGCGACATATCGCAACCATTACATTTCAATCATGCAAATTCTCTCTGATCGACCAATTCCGAAACCAAAATGGACCAGAACAAACGTAAGTAAGAAGCAGTAAGAAGACCCAATGTGCTTTAATACCTGCCCCTAGTAATCTCCGTTAATAACGTTATTAAACTCTTATATAATTTATCAAGGTAATTTATAAGGTGAAAGCTGTAGTGCTTTAACTCACAATCCAAAGGAAATTTATTCTGCTGAATAGTAAGAATTAATATCCGACCTTGACGTTAAAGATTTAAGTTTAATAAATGTCGAATACCTCTTAACACCTATAAGTATAACGGATTTTGCTTTGAAAATAAACGAGTATAAGCGACGAGCACTTATTAATATCCAGGCGATTAAATTGGCTTAATAGGCAGGATTCCTTTAAATTTTATCACGTTTCCTAAATGTTCAAAAGTTAAAACAGAGAAAGGTTAATTTACTATATAGCAAGCAATAACCTGTCGTAGAGAGGTAGAGTTTCGTTCATATCTGCACCGTCTGAAGTCTTCCTCCTCAGCTGGTACCAACCTTTTACTTGCTATAATAAAGATGGGCGATTATGTACAAACAAATTTAGTGAAATTAAGACAAGTTAATAATTAGTAGCGATCGGTAAAATGAATATCTGGTTGGATCACCGATTATACGCAGAGCGGGTTTACTATAGTTGTAAGGTTAAGGTATCGGGGGCAATGAGGTGGTTCAAGGGGAGATATAAACGTTTTAATGCGAAGCATTTGAACGAAATATAGAGATCAAATAGTCGACATGATCGAGCTGCCAAAACATGTTGCCAAAACGCCGTAAGTGCTTCATCAATGTTATTTTAAATAGTGAATTTACAACTGGAGAACTTGCACTAGCATAAAACTAGCTATAGTTCCGAGAAATTCAAAGTTGCTGTTTACGTAATACCTGTCACATAGCTATCAGCCTTATGCAAGGTGACAGTTTGACCAATTTTGCCCTTAAGTCGTCTCCAAGTTTAAGGATCGTCATTGATAGCGTTGTGACAGCTTTTACGGGAGGAATTAATTACTGCATTACCAATATTTATAAAGGAGCACTATCGCAACTACTTGAAATACCGACATACTGCACACGGTTCTGAAGGGTCACGTTTCCTAAAGCACACACTGAAGAGTGAAGATCATGAGATAGGAGCACTTGATTGAAAGTTGAACATTGTGACTGATTGGAAATTGACTAAATTCTAAGAATGTCGAATTGGAGTTTGAGACCATGTTATGATGGGTATCAATATACTATTATATTATAAATTATTTATAAGGTGACATATGTCTATTGAGTAGAGCAGGTCTTTATAAGATACAAAGCAGAGCAAAGAGATCTCTTTAAGATAAATTTGATATTTTGAGTTGGAACCCCAACACGTTTCAAGCAAGTCAATAATAGGAAACAGTGACTTACCCGAGAATCTAAACAACTCTTGCACGAGGATTTACATAACTCTCTACTACCAACGACTCAAAGATCCGGATAGATGAATTTAAAAAGTGCTAAATACTCCTTGAATAGACGTCGAAGCATTTTATGATTACAATTATAGCCCACGATAATTGGGCTTCTAATTAGATTTCTCAATCCAATTTATAAACTTGACATTTGAAGCGCCCACCCACTCAACCCACTGTTATATGGATGGTATGTGTCAATAATCAAGTACATACTGGTTAACTAGTACCGTCGGTGGGTTATTAAAGTATTAATCACCTATTACAGTGTTATTTGAGCATATCATTATCAATGAAATCTGATAACACCACCCATCCTTGACTGGGTAATTATAGCCTGATTGCGCCCCTGAAGATCAAACTACCTTAGTACAGAATATTTGTACGTCACGAGTTTTGTACGGATATTTTTTATACGGCATTGATTTTATACGATTGCATCAATCTCCCAAAGAACAGAAAAAAATCCGTTTAGTGACTAGAAAATAGAAA